TTACTGGTAGAGCTATGTCATATTAGCCATACAAAATCCATTCCAATGTCTTTATTATTTAATGCTTTTTCTTAATATTTATGTCTGTTTCTAAACAATATAATTGCATACTCCAGACAGTCAAGCTTTCAAATGTCATTAGGAGTCTAATACCAATCCATACCTGTGTGGTAATATTTTGCTTGAACTAATAAAACTTGTCTGAGGGTCAAGAAAATGGAGCTTACCACTAACTAACCATAGATGTCTTGAGGTCTGCACACAGACAGAAAGTGATTTAACTGGGCAGAAACAGGATATAAGCAGGGAGAAACAGGAAATCACTCTCTTGTCTCTTGAGATGCTAAGGAGGTAAGATGTACTGTGGCTTTCTCCTTTCTGATCTCTCAGCATTCCCCTCTATATCTGACTCAGTCTTTTTATTATCTAAGCCAATTAAGAGCTCCTTTTATATACCTGTATTGGAGAGATAGAAAAGTTTTCAAAGATGTGATCTTCATAGCCACTATTAGAAAATTTCAGTATGTGAATCTTCAGATTGATTAAAATGTCAAAGTATTATGATAATTTGTTACAAAGAAATAAATAATTGCCTATTATGATGAAAGATGTATCTTTGGATCTAATAGTTTTATTTTAAGACTGACATTGCATTGTAGTATTTTCAAAAGTTATTTTAGAAATAAGCCAACAAACTATTTGAAACAGATTTTTTGAAAGGTAAGTACCATGTACAATGGTATTCCAAGTACAATGGAATAATACTAAAATTTTATTTTTTGTCTGCTAAAGAAAAAAATTACTTTTGTGAAAAATGAAGACACTATAAGCCTTGATTTCACATCTTAGTAATTTCATTTTCCATGATGCTATGTAATACTATTTGATGTGCCTACAAAGGATATGCATTGAAACTTTCAAACTCCCAAATATCAAGATCCAGTATTTGTTTTTATATAAATAACCTCTTCTCATTTTCTTGTAGAGAAATAACCATTGCTTGTGTAGGTATAGGTGATAGCTGGAGAAAAGGACTACAGATGATAGCTAGCTGGATAGATAGATAGATAGATAGATGATATATTTATTGCTTTTAATTCTGCCACTAGAATATCAACCAACTACCTACTAATATGCAGTTAATTAGTAGCTTTTGACTTCTCAATTTGAAATTCAAAAGCAATACCAATGCCCTTTCTTTTAATATCAAATTTTGATGTTAGTTATGAATTATCTGAGGAATAATAATAATAGGAATTATCTAAGATCATAAATAAAAGAAATAAAATTATCCAGAATGAAAGGGAACTCTAAGGTGGAGATATAAGTAGGTTTGATCTTTACACGAAAAAAAAACCATAAAATCAATATGACAAGAGGCCTAAGAATACACTATGGGAAAGCAGGGGTGGGGTTGTATGGTCATATGAACCTCTATCAGTTCTCCTCCCTAGAAACAATCAGAGAAAACTGGAATCCAACATTTTCAAAACTCTGGCAGTTAATCAGAGGTTTGCAGCAATCTGGGAAGTAGATAAATTACTAAAAATATCTAATGAAATTTTTTGGAATTACAGCTTTCTGTATTTGTAGCCCAACTTCTTGAGTACTGTGGGAACACTATAAAATGAGAGCAGTCAATCACAAGGGGCGAATGGAGTTGCAACCTTCAGTGCCTCATTCTCAGAGAGCTGCTGTTATTTTTCTCATTTGAAGTTTCTCTGAGAAAGTGCATTGGCACAGATCCTTTTATTTAATGTAACTTGTAACTCACCCACTGCAAAATTCTTTTTTCCTGGAGACATTTATCAAAAGTATTTATAGATATCTTTTTTTAGCTTGGCAATTACCTGAGGCAATGTATAACAGAAAAAATACTAGACCCAAAATCAATGGATTTGCATGTGCATAGGGGCTTGGAAAATTTCATATGCTCCTAGACTTCTAGATTATTTCATGTATATATGGGGTTGTGAGTATAAAATTTGGTGTGGACTAAATTGTGTCATTCCAAATTCATATTGATGTCATAAATCCTAGAATCTCAAAACATAACTTGGAAATGCAAGAATTAGGGTAAACTGAGGTCATACTGGAAGTGACTTATACAATGACTGATCATTTTTAAGAAGACAAGCACACACAGACCCTGTGAATAGACTGTGAGAGGTTGCCATATTTAAGAAGAGGTAGGAGACCTTTTAGAAAGCCAACACTGGACCAGGCATATACACATATCATTGTATTATCCACAACAGCTACAAAATGGAACCAACTGAGATGCCCACGTTGGTGGCCCATGCCTTTAATCCCAGAACTGGCGAGGCAGAGGCAGGCGGATCTCTGTGAGTTCGAGGCCAGCCTGGTCTCCAGATCAAGTGCCAGCATAGGCTCCAAAGCTACACAGAGAAACTCTGTGTTGAAAAACAAAGAAAAAAAGCCAACACTGGTGGTCCCTTGATCTTGAAATTATTTTAGCTAAACTGTCTATTATTGTGATAAGGCATGAACAAAAGCAATGGGCAGAAAAAGGATTTTTCAATATATAGCTTGTAGTCCATCATCCAGGAAAGTCAGACCAGGATCTCAAGACAGGAACATCCAGGCAGAACCCGATGCAAAGGCGATGGAGGAGTGCTGTTTACTGCCTTGTACTCGCTGGCTTGCTCATTACACAAGAAAATACCTCCAGACTCACCTAGGCGCCAGTCTTATGGTGGCATTTTCAAAGCCCAGACATGTCTAGTTTTATGTCAAGTTAACAAAAGAAGAAACCAAAAAAAAAAAAGAAAAGAAAAGCAGCAGCCAACACAGAGTTCTAGTCTTTAAAAAAACAGGAAAATTAAGTGCTGTTTTTAAACGCCACTGTCAGTAGTATTCTATGGCACCCCTACCAACAAATAACCTCAAGTATATGAGTGTTCAGGAAATACCAAAGAAGATCTCCTCAACTCTATGTGGTTCACAAATACAACTCCCAGCAACACTTGGTGACTTAGCCTAAGAATTTATAGACAGCACTTCCATTCTGAATATCTATGATGTCAAATGATGGTTAATGTAGGTATTAAGGGTTTAGTCTGACAGAGTCAGACTCTTTTCAACAGAGGTTTTATCCATTTAATAGCTAGGTTCCCAGAGCAAATTTATGGTAGGTTTTTCTACATTGACACACATTATTTTAGATATGTTTCCTCCTCTCTTTTTATTCACCCAATAACTCTTTCACATCATGTCTCCTGATCCCATTGAATCCACCTTCTGCTCCTCCAAGCTTCCCCTCCCCAATAAAACAAAATTTAAGAAGAAAAAAAGGAAAAATTAAAGATCTCATCATGGAAGCTGCCTTGTGATACAGTGAATCCCACAGTAAAACCCCTTGTCCCTATATCTTTAGTTGCAAATGTTTGTAGCAGTGTCATTGGTCTGCTTTGAGGCCTCTGGTTTCTGCTACACCATGGATGCTCAGCCCTCTCTGAGACTCTTCTTGGATATCCTGTTGTTGCCCTGTGTTCTGAAGATCCTGTATCAATGGGTCTGATGGTCAGGCCCCTTCACATGCTCCAAAAGATCATAGATGGTGTGGATGTTGGGGCAGGCCACATCCAAACCCTGGCTCTGGGTCTGGGCAACTGCAGGGTTAGTCAGCCCACATGTTCTCCCCTATCCTCACCACCAGAGTGAGCTCTCCAGCATTGCCCTGGCTAATTCATTTTTGCAGCAATGAAAGGGGTGGTGTCAGTTCTTCTGCTCACATACCCTCAGGTTCGTCTCTCCCCCACCTCCAACATCAGGACCAGCTCTACTGTGCTGCCCAGATGAGGATAATGGGCACTCTTCTGAATGCTGCAGGGTCAGGGGCAGCTCTCCTACTCTTCTGATCTGAGTGTCAGGTCCTCCACCTGTCTCACGCATTGATGGGGCAAGGGAATCTTTCCTCTGCCCATGCCACCATGTCAAATGAGTAATGAGGACAATGCTCCCTTGCTCAGAACATTGGTGCTGGGTCACCCACACCTCTGAAAAACAGCCCAGCTCTTCTGCGCTGTGTGCTGCCTAGGTGAGGTGCAGGCCTGCTTTCCTTAGTGCTGCAACTGGCAAGGGAGAGGGTAATCTCATCTCTGTTGCAGGAATTAAGGGGCTGAGGGAGGGAGGCAAAGAGGGGATAAGAGGGGCTATCTCTCCCCCACCCACACTATTGTGTGACAGACAAGTAGTGGAGACAACTTTTCTCATGAACTTGGGGTCTGACTTGCCCACACTACCACCAACAGAGTAGGCATTATTGCTTTGCCCAGGTGAGGTTCAGGGTCTGTTCTCCCAAGTATTGCAGCTGTTGGGGAAGAGGGTCAGCCTTTCCACTCTTATGGCCACAGGGCCAGCTATCCCACCTACCTCATGCATTGATAAGTGTGTGTGTCGGGGGGGGGGGATGTTAACAAACTATATACAACAAATAAACAGCATACAAGTGCAAATAAATGAATTTAATGAATTGATATTGATAGAGGAAACATTCTAACCGATCAAGAATATTACCATTTATATATTTTATAGTCATTTTGTTACTGCTGAGGGAAATGCACAAAGCCTAAAAGGTAGGAGTTTTTGTCTCAACATAAGCAATGAAAATTATTCAATACAGCTACACTTTCTTTTTTTATACCTCAAGTATTAAGGATACTTTTAACCCAAATGGCAATCTGATATTAGGTCTGAGTAAATAGATTCTGAAAGCTTAAATATTTTGAAATAGATTTTGTTCCCAGATAGCAATAAAACATGATGCCACCTCTAACAAATGAAGGAATACATGTGAAATTTTATTAATAACCATTGACCATAAATCCATAAATATCTCTCTCATAATATTCACTGTGTGATATTTAAATTTCTTTTTGTGTTGTTGCCTAAGATACTCTTAATTCATATTTTACTTTTTATAGGAAGCAATGTTTGATTTCTGTTTGTAAATTCTCTCAATTTGTCTTCATTGGCAGTTTGGTTGCCACTAAGGAAACAAGCAGTGCAAGATCTCGAAGTGCTCCAATGTCACCTTCTGATTTTCTGGACAAACTAATGGGGAGGACATCTGGGTATGATGCAAGAATCAGGCCTAACTTCAAAGGTAACTATTATGTTTACTTCTTGCTGTGCGGTGTGCTTAAAGAAGTTAAGTTTACAAATTGATTCCACCAGACAATGTAATGCTTATTTCCAATAGTCTTTGAAATATACTGTATTCAGAAGAGTTCTGCCTGCAAAAGAAAAGCCCATTTTCATGTTCAGAGATAGCAAAATGTGTCTGCTGTTGACAAACAGTACTATTCTGTCCTTAATAGTTATTTGTTAATTTGTTTCGTTTTGATTTTTCTGGGGCAAGCCCTTGCTGTGCAGTCCATGTAGCCCAAGCCAGCATCAAGCTCATGGCCATTCTCTCACATCACTCTCCATAATATAGTATTATAGGTGTACATAACCTTGCATAGGTTCTAAATAGTTGTATTTCTTATATCAACTTATATCACACAATAACTCTGTATGTGTGTGTGCACACGTGCACATTCGCACACACGTGCTTGTATCTGTTATCTCATTGTCTGAAACAAAAGCCCAACATCCAGAGTTTAGGTTTTGTATCTATCTGTCTATAAAGCAGAAGCAACCAGAAAAAAATAATAAACACCTTTTTTGTCAGTATGGGAATTAAATGGACAGTTTTTGAACTCTGGTTGGTTTGGAAACCTTTGCTGTAAAATTAATAGGCACCTGCTAGAGCAGTTTATGTTTTAGAAAGCACTGATTATAAAATGCATATACTCCCAAACTGATGGTTTGTCCATTACTGGCATCTTTTAATATTTACTTTGTCATAATTGTTGAACTAAAACCACTATTTTGCACTACAGCAAGTCTTTGTGTTCAACAGTTTTTACAGGTTATACACATTCATAAAAGCATGTTGCCATTTCTACATCATAAGTATAGTTTCACTGCATTAAAATTCTACCCCTAAATTTAATATTACATAGGGAAAATCATACTTATTAATATTGCTTATTCATATCAAACCACCAAATTTCTACCGAGAGAATGCAATTTAGTTCAGAACATCGAGTTGATTTGCAAGGACATCATTGCAGCTTTTGTATTTTCCTCCCAAGCATTTTCTCTTTCTCTTTCACTCAGCCATTTTAAAATATTTTCTCTAGAAAATGAAATTGGAAAGGAAAGGCTTTCCAAGTCAGACCTCTGCTTTGTGTTGAGTGTTGAGTTTTGTCATGCAATGGTTTGGCTGTGAAATGTCCCTTACAAACACAGGTGTTGAGCATTCCAGCTCATGGGATGTGACATAACTAACCAGCTGGAAGAATGGTTGCTAGAATTGAAAAATTTAGCCTGGACTGAGCTCTTTGCTTCTCTGTAGACTTGTGAGGAAGCCACACCTTATTTCTTCCGTCCAGCCCAGCCATCATGTTTTTCTTGCCATGATGAAATATATACCCTAAAACTGGGAGCCAAATACAGCCTGCTCCCCTTTCTACATGGTTTCTTTACTCTTCTACACATACAATGAAAGCTCCTAATACACTATGCTTGCCAGCTAAGGAAAAGGGCTTTAGTCTTGAAGCATGGAAAAATATCATGTCTGTAAACAGTTGTCAACAAAGTTATTTACAATGTTTTAAAAGTTCCTGAAGCCAACTAATAACAGGCCCATTACACAGGAAATGAGGAAGAAGAATGTTTCTGAGGCCCTTTTACTCAGTCCTGCTCCATTCAGTCTTCACTTATACTCATTTTATCTCATCTGCCAGTCATTTTTAACAGCCTTTTACTTTTTATGCCATTAAACATTTTCTTTGGTACATTAATTAATTCTCATTTCATTTGACAATTTCATCTTCTCCGGACAGAATGAAAGCTGTTTTCAGGTCTTTATTTGTGAATAATTTTCTGGTATCTTTGGAAACTTGAAGCAGTCTGAATATAACAATTGAATAGCAAATCAAAGTTTCATCATATTATATAACAACACTGTAATTAACTAAGTTATTCTGGCAGCCTCTCTTGCTTCTCTTCATTGTTACTAATCTTGGTTCCTTCCATTGGTTTTTCATGATCTTTCATATAAATTGGACCTCAACAGAGAGTTTTATGTCAATAATCACTCAACTCTCAAATCCTCACAAATATTTATTTGTTGTTGCTCTGTTACTCTAGTGCTATTGTTCACTGTTTTTATGGATAGAAATAACATTGTATTCACAATATCCTTGCTATTTCTCTCTACTTGCAATATTTCTCTATATTAATACCCTTCTGAACACATTACAAATCAATTAACACTGTTAGTGACTATCTGACCTACATATTTACATATTCACATATACACAAATTACATGTGTGTAAATATGCATAGATAATATTTAAATATGCTAGCTGCAGGATAACACTTAGTGTATTGTCTCTACATATATAAAAGATGAATATTTTAAGGATTTTATTTTCTTATTTTAACTATTCCTATGCACCAAGACACTATTTTTCTTGCTACTTTGGGGAAACTTTTCTATTTGCATGTCCATGTATGGACATGGAAGATCATTGTGACAGAGTTGAGCAAGATACTTTTCTAAAATTATAAATGTCTTCATGTTCAAAGTATATTTTACTTTTGTTCTATTTTTACTGTTAAAAATACATTTTGTTTTTTTGTGGGTTTTTTTTTGTTTTTTCTTGTCTTTTTTTTTTTCATGGTTTCTCTGTATTGCTTTGGAGCCTGTCCTGGAACTCTCTCTGTAGACCAGGCTGGCCTCAAACTCACAGAGAGACACCTGACTCTGCATCCTGAGTTCTGGGATTGAGAGATGGCTCAGCTATTAAAGGCTAGTCTCACAACCAAAAATCTAAAAATGTTTTAATTGAAATAGAATTACATCACATTCCCATTACTTTTTATGCTTCCAGCCCCTCACAGTTACCTTCCCTCTAATCACTCCTAAGCCCCCCATCTCAACTTGATAGCCTCTTTTTTGTCATTACTGTGTTACATGTAGATATGTACAAATACACATATATTTAAATTGCTATTGTTGCATGTAGATATGTGTAAGTGCACAAATACATAAACACAGTCTGTTATTGTTGATTGTGTATGTAAGGTTCCAGGGCCTACCACTCTGCATTTGACAACCAAAATGCATGTTCCTCACAGAGAAAGCTAATTCTCCTCCCAGCAGCCATTGGTTTTCACTAGATCTTTGTGGAATGGTGAGGTCACAAGAAATTCCCTTTTCATGCTATCACATCCATTGATATCCTAGGAAAGACTGCTTAAAGATGACCTGTTGGCCCTCTGGGTCTTATAATCCTTTCATCCTTTTTTCCATGATATTCCCTGAGCCATAGATGGAGGAGCTGTGATCTAGCTATATTAATTGATGTTGGCTCCTTGCAGTCTGTTTACTTGCCTTTAAATTGCCATTTAAGTAGTAATTATGTTGCTGTAATTTCAAAACATTTTTAATTTTAATTTCAATTAAATTTTAATTTTAAATTAAATATATAATTATATAAATTATATATAAATTAAAATTTATATATATGTATATAAATTAAAATTTCAATTTTAATTTCAAAATTAAAAGTTCAGTAGAATACCCACCTTTTAAAATTAAACTCCTTCAATGTAAGTTGGTGACTCTTAATTCTTTACTAAAAGCAAGACCATTATTTTGACAACCACTAAAACTAGCAACATACATGAAGATATCATTTCCTTCTAACTTCTAAATTCCCAATCATATTTCATCAGCTATTTAAATAATAATGACTCCCCAACAATGTTATCCAGTGTCAGTTACAATCACTGTCTCCTTCAGTCTGAAATGTCTCTTCTTTTTTACAACTGAAAATATAATTTTAAAAAAATCTATATTCTAATTAGTTTCCTCTTTCATAACTGCTCCTTTCAATCTCTCCACATACCCAAATCCATACCTCTTCTTTCTGTCTTATTAGAAAGCAACCATACACCTAAATAGATCTTAGCATTAAAATATTTCTCAGTCACTTAGAAGAATATAAATTTCCTTGCATTTGTCACACATTTCCTAAACTTTTTCTTATAGTGCATATTGGATGTAAAACATAAATCAGGTTGATATTTATCATTACTGGTAACTTTCAAATGGAATACTTATGTTATATCCATTAAAAATACATCTACACATAGGACATATATCTAAGCACACATATACAAACATTGCATACACACATATGTCTGTATTTATTTCCTTATATGTAATCACTGAAGACTATAATTTCACATTGATATTTAAAATACTTAAAGTTTATACCAGTTTCTCAGTTTTCATATTTTAACTTTCTCATCTGAGAGCAGAAACCTGACTTCCATTACCCTCCATATAATTATTTATTTGATGAAAATGAAATGAATCTCTGATGTTACATTGTTTCATTTGTTCCCCATTTTGGTTACACTCTTAAATCCTGATTGGTTGTATCATCCAGACAAGAGGGTCATTCACATTCTATCTGTACATGCTAGGAGCACACAAGCACACACTTCTTAACCTTTCCTGGGTTTTGCATGCCTCACCAGTTTTCTCAATGTGATAACACACTTCTCACTCAATCTCTACCTAACATGCTATGTCTTGTAGACTTTCTCTACAGAAGTGTTTCTCTCCTTCAGTAGGTTACCAAAACTCTAGGTACTCCTGGCACAGAAACCTATCTTGTGATGGCCACCTCAAAAAAATTAGAATTGCATTTCTGTGAAGCAACAGAATAAATGGAATTCTATTTTTATTCATAAAGTACAAACTATAAATCTTTATTTACAGTCATCAAGGATATTTTGCTCATTAAAAAAATAGAACAGTTCTCCCAAGTGGCATGTATATGCATTTAACTAAAATAAAAACAAATCTCTGGGTTGGGTTATTTTTCATCTTCAATTATACTGTCTTTAAGAAGGGTAAAGCTTTAGTACAGAATTCTGTTAAAAATTCCTTAGAGTCATTCCTATGAAAATTTGAGTTTTCTGATTGTTTGCTCTACATTGGCCTAATGAACACTTTCTCCAGTGTGATTAAAAAT